AGGTCAGCGCTCAGCCACCGAGGCTCACCAGCCAGGCGACCAAAATCCTAACCAGTCCGGGGTTTTCTGGTCAAGCACCAGGAAAGTAACTGTCATGTGGGGCTCTCCACCCCCATAGGAAGGACAGGCAACCAGCGTGATAAAAGCCTCCCCTAAAGAGAACACATCTCCGCCGAAGAAGAGCCCCTCCCCCCTTCCCAAAGCTCCCTCGCCCCCGGCCCTGCCCGTAAGCACCTTCGACGTTGTGCAGCTCCTTAGGGCGCCCTCCCTCCCAGTCGCCAGACCGGATGCTGCCGGGTCGCGAGCCCCTTGCCAAAGCCAGTTAGACTCCACATTCACTCGGTTGAATTTTGTTTGAACAGGTTAAAAGGGTGTGTTTTTTTTTTAACAGATTAGAAAGTGGGTGGGGATTTGCCAGGGAGGGGCGGCCCGGGGACACCCGCAGGCTCCCGGCTCCCGCACCTGGGGCAGAAGTTCTGGCCCCCGGAGTGGGCGGCGCCGAGCGCAGACGCCCCGCCAGCCGCCGCCTCCTCGGGCTCCCAGGCTCCCAGGCGCTGCAGGCTCAGCCCCGCGCCCTGTCTCCCCAGAGCGCCCGCCGCCAGGATGCCGCCCCGGGTGCTGGCCGTGGTCGGCGGCCAGGTGCTCCCGGCCTTCCTGCTCTGCAGCACGCTGCTGGTCATCAAGATGTACGCGGTGGCCGTCCTCACTGGCCAAGTGCGGCTGCGGAAGAAGGTATGTGCCCGGCGCCCCCGCGGGAGTCCCCTCTGGCCCCCGAGGTGGTCAGGGCCGGGGTGCGGGGCTGGGCCCGTGCCTCTCCCGCGGGCGGCCCTGGGTACCAGCACCTTCCAGTTCTGTTTTAAGAGCTTTACGCGCTGTGCCGCCCGGTGAGTTCCGGGCACAGCGAGCCCCGCCGAGCTCTTGAGACGCGGGTCCCCGGGGTGGAGCGAGACGGTAAATGCTGCCCCGACCTGGCGGCTTCCCAGCACAGGAGAGCCGAGGCTTGGGTGGGGTGGGAACCGGCGAAACGGGACCGAGGGCTCTGAGTGGAAATTCCCAGCTCCCTGGCCGGGTCACTGACACACCCGGGGCAGCCTGGGCCCCGGCGGGCGCCGGGCTGAGCTCCATCGGGGCTTTGAGGGAGGAAATCCCCCCTCCAGCCGGAGTCCCGGAGCCAAACAGCAGCGCAGCGGCTGAGCCCCGAGCCGGGGCGCGGGCGGGCGGGCGCTGCTCAGAGGGGACCCCGGGGTGAGCTGCGGACCCAGCTCGCCCACGGGCCCACCTTTGACTCCCGGAGGCCCAGGTGGCACCTGCTGGTCACCCTCCCGGGTGCTTCAGTAGAGGAAAGTGTTCCTGGGAAGTGTGTCCCTTTGTCCCCCCCCCCTTTGTCCAGTCCAAAGGCAAGGTGAGGCTGGCTCTGGCATCCCGCGGGGGTGGACACCGGGGAGCCGGGTCAGCGCCTGGCACGGGTACAGGCAGGACCGAGGGCGGGCAGGGCAGCTCACTAGGTGAAATAGCCCCTGGAGGCACCGGCCTGCGGATCACCTGGCCTCCCTCTGCCTTGGCCCATCCTGGCTGCCGGCTGCGGGCACTCAGCTGGGGCCTGTTCACCCACTGAGTCCTTGCAAGGAGCGGAGCTTACTCCCCACAGGGCCCTGGGGGAGGAGCCCCGTTCGCCTTCGCTCCAGGTGAGGGTCTGGGCTGGAGGCCACCCAGCTGGGTTCGAGCCCAGGTGCCCGGCCGCAGAGCTCCCCGCCCGCCCCGGGGTGGGGCTGTCAACAGTGAGGTGCAGGGCCCCAGAGCTTCCCTTCAACGTGCATTCAGGGAAGGGAGGAGACCTGCCCGTCTGAGTGCCTGTCGGCCTGGTCAGTGGGGAGTGGCAGGAGGAAAGCTCCCCTCAGGCTGTCCCCAAGGTACCGTCTGTGGTCTGGGAAATTCCCTCTCATTCCTGCTTGGGGAGGCAACAGATGCAGGCACGGGCTCTGCCCACCAGCCTCGGGACCGGGCGAGTCCGGGAGCTGGGTTTCCTCATAGGCACACGGGATAGTCACAGCACTGCCAGGAGAATTCAGTGCCCGGTACAGCGTAAATGCTCCCCCAGGTTAGTTCTTGTAACTCAACAACTGATCCCTTTGAGGGGGTGCGTCCAGGGCCAGGCTGCCTCACCCCAACGAGAGGTAGTGTCACCGGAGAGGGGACCAGGCCCCAAGCTGTCCGCCTCTCGCTGCCTGGTTCTTCATGCAGGAACGATGAGCCCAGGCGATTCTGAGACGATGTTTATTAAAACTGGGGACCGAGAAACACAGGAAGGGCTTGGGGTAGAAGGAGCAACAGCAGAGCCTGGGTGGGGCTCGGCCCTGGCTCCCTGGAAACGTTCTAGGCAAGAAGCGAGCCAAGGCCGGGCGGCTGTCAGTTCACTGGAAAGTTAGAGGAAAGGGGGGCCTTGGAGGCAGGTTCCGGGGTTAGACGGGGAAAAGCTGCTGCTGCCTGCTGCTCCCCTGGTTGCAAGTCTCGTGGGGTCCCTTAGAGTTAGGGAGAAAGCAAGCTCATTGTCTCGGGATCAAGGACAGTTGAGGGACGTGCCCCCAGGAGCAGCACACAGGCCTCTCTGCCTCGAGGGGTTACCTGCTCTCCAAAGGCTGGGTTTTAGGGGGCATCCAGGGGAAGGTCTCAATAGAACTTTCATCAGCTTTTCCAGATGTGTCCTTTCAGGGTGACAGTCACCACTGACGGGTTCGGCCCAGGGCAGAGGGTCCTTAGTCATCACAGCTGGTCCCGCCTGGTTTATCAGAATCGATGACTCGTGACTGAAGGGCCAGGAGGGGAGAATTCTGGGTGCGGGGGCAAGTCCTTGAGTGCCCATCTTCTTCTGACCCCAGGGCCTTTGCACAGGCTGTTCCTCTGCCCCGGTTGCTGTTGCCTCAGCCCTTCCTTCACCTGGTTGATGTTGATGCATCCGTCAGACCTCGGCTTGAGTGTCACTGCCTCTGAGAAGCCTTCCTCGACCCCCAGATTCAGTCAGGCCTCCCGTGAACATTCTCAAGGCCAATCTTCTTTCCTCTTTCTTAATACTCACCACCTGGCCTTTCCTGGTTTATCAGAGTGTGAGCTTCTCAGGAACAGGGACGGGAGCGCCTTTGCCTTAGTCTGCTCGGCCACCTATAACAAAACACCAGGGGCTGGGCAGACATTCATTTCTCACAGTCCTGGAGGCTGGAAGTCCAAGGCCAGGGCTCTGGCAGGGTCTGTGTCTGACGAGGGCCTGCTTTCTGGTTCATAGATGGACATCTTCGCACTGTGTCCTCACGTGGCAGAAGGACAGGGGGGCCTAGGGAGCTCTCTGGGGTCTTTTTTTTTTTAAATTATTGTTTTTTTTAATATCTTGTTTTTAAAACATGTTTTTATTGATTTCAGAGAGAGGAAGGGAGAGGGAGGGAGAGAGAAACATCAATGATGTGAGAGTCATTGATCAGCTGCCTCCTGCACGCCCCCAACTGGGGATGGAGCCCGCAACCCGGGCAGGTGCCCTGAACGGGAATCGAACAGTGACCTCCAGGTTCTGGGGTCGACACTCAACCACTGAGCCACACCAGCCGGGCCCTGGGGTCTTTTTCACAAGAGCACCAGTACCATTCAGGAGGACTCCGCCCTCACGACCTAATTCCCTTCCGAAGGCCCCACCTCCAAGTACCATCACACAGGGGCAGGGGCAGGGGAGGGGGTAAGTCTCAACGTTTGCGTTTGCTGGGGACGCATTCAGTCCACAGCGGCCTTGTCCACGGCGAGTCCCCAGCACTTAGCACATAGTAGGATTCCTGGATGCCGGCGAATGGCATTCCCCGGGCGACCAGCCACCCGTGGCACGAACAGTCATTCTCCGCTGCTGTGTTGCAGGCTTTCGCCAACCCCGAGGACGCCCTGAGACACGGAGGCCCCCAGTACTGCCGGAGCGACCCGGATGTGGATCGCTGCCTCAGGCAAGTACCACCGGGCCTGGGCCTGCGCCTCTCTCTCCTGGACGCCGGGGCGGGGGGGCCTGGGGCTGAGGCCTTCTGCTTCCCTGCCCCCCAGGACTGTTCTACTTTAGTCGCTGGTTTGATTGCTAATTGTGGAGAAGCATCGCTCGCTCATGGCTCAGGGTTATGAAGCCGGGAGGGACGTTCCGTGACCAGTCCCCTCCCCGCGCTCTGGCCTCGGGTCCCACCCTGTCCTGGAGAGGTTCAGGGACGCGGGTTCAGGGTTTTCTACACTTACACACACAGGTGCTCTGCTTTGTCCGCCGACCCCAAGGGTCGCCCTGCACCCGCGGGCCTGTCTGTGCTTCTCACAACAACAGAGATGGTTCACGCGGGGCCTCCGTGTGGGCGCCGCCGTGTCGGTGTCACTAGTCTGCTGAGTGGGTGACCCTTCCCTTGCCCGATTCCCTCCGACGGGCATGTAGGCCGCTCCCACTCTTTCTGTCACGAACAGACGGCACCAGAACCTCTCATTGACCCGTGTCTGTCCGTGTGAGAAAGACTGCAGGAGGCAATCGAACGGTAAGAAATAGTGCAGCCCAGGCCGGTGTTGCTCAGGGTTTAGAGCACTGGCCCCGTGCACCCAGGGGTCGCAGGTTCGATTCCCCGTCAGGGGCATGTACCTGGGTTGCGGGTTCATCCCCACGTGTCAGGGCGCATGCAGGAGGCAACTCACCGTCGTGACTCTCACATCAATGTTCCTCTCTCCCTCCCTCTCCCTCTCCCCGCCCCCCTTCCACTCTCTTTCTAAAGAAAAGCATTGGAAAAAATTATCCTTGGTGAAGATTAACTAAAACAAAACCAAAAAAGCAATCCGGGCAGACGGGGCGCAGGCCTGGCCCAGTGCACAGGTGGCTCTCGGGCCCTGGCTCCCCGGGGCCCACTGCTGGGCGGGGACACCGCCGACCACACTCNGGTGCCCTGAACGGGAATCGAACAGTGACCTCCAGGTTCTGGGGTCGACACTCAACCACTGAGCCACACCAGCCGGGCCCTGGGGTCTTTTTCACAAGAGCACCAGTACCATTCAGGAGGACTCCGCCCTCACGACCTAATTCCCTTCCGAAGGCCCCACCTCCAAGTACCATCACACAGGGGCAGGGGCAGGGGAGGGGGTAAGTCTCAACGTTTGCGTTTGCTGGGGACGCATTCAGTCCACAGCGGCCTTGTCCACGGCGAGTCCCCAGCACTTAGCACATAGTAGGATTCCTGGATGCCGGCGAATGGCATTCCCCGGGCGACCAGCCACCCGTGGCACGAACAGTCATTCTCCGCTGCTGTGTTGCAGGCTTTCGCCAACCCCGAGGACGCCCTGAGACACGGAGGCCCCCAGTACTGCCGGAGCGACCCGGATGTGGATCGCTGCCTCAGGCAAGTACCACCGGGCCTGGGCCTGCGCCTCTCTCTCCTGGACGCCGGGGCGGGGGGGCCTGGGGCTGAGGCCTTCTGCTTCCCTGCCCCCCAGGACTGTTCTACTTTAGTCGCTGGTTTGATTGCTAATTGTGGAGAAGCATCGCTCGCTCATGGCTCAGGGTTATGAAGCCGGGAGGGACGTTCCGTGACCAGTCCCCTCCCCGCGCTCTGGCCTCGGGTCCCACCCTGTCCTGGAGAGGTTCAGGGACGCGGGTTCAGGGTTTTCTACACTTACACACACAGGTGCTCTGCTTTGTCCGCCGACCCCAAGGGTCGCCCTGCACCCGCGGGCCTGTCTGTGCTTCTCACAACAACAGAGATGGTTCACGCGGGGCCTCCGTGTGGGCGCCGCCGTGTCGGTGTCACTAGTCTGCTGAGTGGGTGACCCTTCCCTTGCCCGATTCCCTCCGACGGGCATGTAGGCCGCTCCCACTCTTTCTGTCACGAACAGACGGCACCAGAACCTCTCATTGACCCGTGTCTGTCCGTGTGAGAAAGACTGCAGGAGGCAATCGAACGGTAAGAAATAGTGCAGCCCAGGCCGGTGTTGCTCAGGGTTTAGAGCACTGGCCCCGTGCACCCAGGGGTCGCAGGTTCGATTCCCCGTCAGGGGCATGTACCTGGGTTGCGGGTTCATCCCCACGTGTCAGGGCGCATGCAGGAGGCAACTCACCGTCGTGACTCTCACATCAATGTTCCTCTCTCCCTCCCTCTCCCTCTCCCCGCCCCCCTTCCACTCTCTTTCTAAAGAAAAGCATTGGAAAAAATTATCCTTGGTGAAGATTAACTAAAACAAAACCAAAAAAGCAATCCGGGCAGACGGGGCGCAGGCCTGGCCCAGTGCACAGGTGGCTCTCGGGCCCTGGCTCCCCGGGGCCCACTGCTGGGCGGGGACACCGCCGACCACACTCAGTGACCGTTCCTGCCACGTCTTGGTTTCATTTTCGTTTCTGTTGTCCCGAGTGAACCTGAACATCTCTTTCCACGCCCAGCATCCCTCCAGTCGGCCAAGAACAAGAACAATTCTTATTCTAAAAAGCAGAACTGCTGATGGCCGACAGTGTGGGAAATGTCGAGGGTACACGGAGGAGAGCGTCGCTGTAACGCTGGCCCCTCTCTCTCCTCTGTGACCCAAACATTTCCCGGAACACTGGGCGTGCACCGTACACCCCCTTGGGGGTCCTCGATTGTTTTCTGTTAACATTATTTCACAAGCATTTCCCATGACCGTAAATACTATTCAAAAATGGCTCTTTAGAAAAAAAGTCTGTAAAAATCCCGTCAGAGACTAAGGGTTACCATCGAGTCACAGCTGCGACGTCGGGCTTCTGGG